TCAACGGCACCCTTAAAAAAGTGCACATAAGTGAGGACAACGGTGTTGGGTGCATAACATGTTCCTATTCTCGCCACATGCGGATAAGTCTAAAATCACCACTTACATACAATTTGATCTTAACTGAGGAGAACACGCTATTATTCAAATCAGTGGTCCATCGCCAATGTCCCGCCGCTAGCAAATGTTCCCGTCAATGCGCGGGTTTCGAAGGAACGATAGATATTGTTGGTCCTTCAGGGGCCATCCCTATACGGTCACTGTGCCACTGTTCAGTTCGGAATTACTTGCCTTACAATCCTGATAAATGTTTTGCAACTGCAGCTTGCGACTGACGTGGGTCCATTTTTGCCTGTTGCAAAACTTAGCAATCACCTGCTGTTGCGGTTGATCGTGATCCACCACCTACTCTTCTAGGGCAGCAGTGGCTGCAGTCCATATTGCTCCTTATGCGCACAAAACAATGGTGTGAGCAATATCAGAACTCCTGGCCCACACTCGTTACAAATCTTCCTTCTTCCAGTTTCCCGGGGATTCTTCTTCGCGAAAATTCACCCTAGTGTGTCTCTGAGACACTACATTGCACAGTAACTTCTCCTGCTCAGTACACCCCCTCTTGTCCTGTCCCACCAAACCCTCGTTCTGCGTGGCCACTCCCTTTTGGCTCCAGATTGAAGCCGGATGCAAGACATATGAGGCCCACTTTGGTGCCCATGACTGTAGGGCTTCTAGCATTATGCTTGCACAGTTTCATCCAATTCCATCTAATTGTTAATAAGTTAGGTCAATTTATCCATCTCGTCCTTAAGTTTTGCACACCAGTGTAGATGCTCTTCTGTCAGTGTTTACCGTCGAATGGTTTGCATGCCACACGAACCCCAGGTTCTCGGGCATCAAAGCGCAAGGAGGCCATTCTCAGGTTTGAAATGCTTATGTTCAAGGGCGAGGCTTGACCAAAAGTTTGTGAGAGGAAAATATGACTCTGGTGAGAAAGACGTCCGACTTCATTTTGATATGTGGAAATATGGATTAAACAGACGAATGGAGGCAATAAAGCCATGATTCAGGGAAGTTGGAATAAAAACTTGTCGACTAATACTACTGGGAACATGTAGTTTCTATTTTTGCGAGCTTTTTATTTACTGATCCAGTACCTGCACTCTTTCAACAACGTGGGAACGAACCCCAGCCGGTGCTTGGCTAAAAAACCATCTGCCGTACGCCAGCAGTATTTTATCGCATCGGCGATTGCGTTTTCGGACCCTTGTTTGTGGAAAGCCTGGTTACTCTGATTTTCACCATAAACACCTTGTTCGCTATAAAAGAAGAAATAGTCGATGTGTCAGGGGAAGCGCTTGGCTAAAGTGAACGGTCCTACATGTGAGAAATGCAGAGATATATGAGAGAAACGCAATACTTCATCAATCCCACATGGTCCACACGATTTTAGTCTCCCTACAACTTTTATGCATGGACGGAATGATCACAGCGTTGCTGCCCAACTCTGAAACTGAACTGGACTTTGAGACTGATTCTGAGACTCCAACTGTCGTCAGTCACTGCAAGCAATAACATATCCGTTCCGGTGAGATACACAGCCCAAGCTCCATCGAAGTAATCTCACATCACTTGGGCTCTTCCATATATACAGGGGTGGTCCAATTTAAAAAAAGAGATGAACATCTTTGTAAACTAGAGGCGTGTTCTGAGATATCACAGCATCATCGAACTTTTCGTCGCATAGGGCGCCGATGTTAATGGGAGTAACTATTGCGAAGAATACATTATTCCTAAGATGTTCCCACGTAAGCAGAAGTAGGCCCTTTTTCACTGCCTCCACCGTCTTCAAAATATGACGTCATCTGTCGTCACCGTCGAGCTCAACGAGGCTTGCTGTAATCGCTCCGGCCTGAAGCTGCTACATGATTTCTTCAATTGATTAGATGGTGAATAACTTCTAGGAGACACTAGCTGTTACTGTGCAAGACCGCTTTTAAGCCAGCGTTTCGGGGAGG